AAAAAAGTGTATTCTATACTAGTTACCCCCAATTCCTTACTCCAGATGTATCTTGAAGTGCATCTCGCCACCCCTAATACCATTTTGAAATACATTAATTGCACTTTGTCTAGACCACGTACGCTACTCCAGCTCCACGTTTCTACGCTTTACCATGCTATAGCTCTGAAGATAGACTTCATAAGAAAAACGCGGTCTTCTTCTTTGTCTCTACTGGCTCTCTTCATTACCCCCCAATATGAATATGAAGTTTGCGGAAGAACTAATTGTTTAACTCTTAATTAGATTATGGCTATCGAAAATTTATATTTAAGTTTGTTCTAGATCCTTATGGGTTTTCTTGTCAAAGGGATGAAGGAGGTCCATTGGAGTAATGGTCGCGCTGGGAGGGAAGGCACTTTTTAAAGTCACAACGGTAAGTTTTTTGATGTTTACTCCGTATAATTTCTCTCATAGTTTACGGTTTTCTAATAACTAGCTGGTATTATCTTCATTATAAATAAAATTATTTGCAGTTTAGGCCTTTACTTTGCTAATATGAATATTTATTCTTTTGCCTGATCATAAAGCCAAACACGAAACAACAAAAACTGAAATTTGGCGTTTTTTTACAAATTTTTGCTGAAATAATTAAACATTTGTGAAAATCTTCTATTTTATATGTTACTTTTTACAGTGGATTTTCATAAAATAAGTGAATACCAAGATTGTTAAGAAATAGTCTAATTTTGAAGAAATGTTTGGCTAACCTTAATTGAAAATCCAATTTAGCATAAATATTATCTCGTTACATGTATTACCTAAATGTAGAGGTGTGCAAAATGTTTTTTTAAATGTGTTTAAACATAAAATGCCAATACTTTTTTGATTTGTTATTTCAAATGTATAGTACAAAATAGACTTCACTTTTGTATTTTAAACGCTAAATGCTAAATATGTATTTTCAAAATACTTTTTTCAAATAAATACCTTTTTATAGTACCTACACCTACTTAACTTTCTACATTTACTTAAGTATAAAACATTTTTTCAGAAAACCTTCCAGCCATTTCCTCATTTTTTAAATATTGCAGTTTTTTCTAGACCAATAGTGGTGTTTCCACTATATCACCAGCTGGGAAGATTGAGTATGATTTATATTCTTCTGTTTGAAGTGATTGAGATATAGTTTTTCTAACTTTATATTATAGTTTCTTCAGTTTAGCAACAAATAATTCCTCTATATGCTGGCTTATTTGCCTTTGTCACCCGTTTTAATTCGAAAGAAGTCACATGCCAAAATAGTTTGTTCACCGTGAAAAATCAGAGCCAAAATAGGGTTGCAAATAA